TTGTGTGTGTGTGTGTGTGTGTGTGTGTGTGTGTGTGTGTGTGTGTGTGTGTGTGTGTGTGTGTAGCTTCCCTCATCAGGCCGCGCTGTGTCGCTATGTGACGACTCCTCGGTGACTCTGCAGTGTGACGGTGACGACTCGCTGAGGTTGATGGTGAGATGGAGCGCTGCTCTCTATGACCTCCCGACCTCTGACCTCCCAGACCTCCATGACGTTGGTGAGCAGACCATAGACTGTATACAAAAGATGGCCATAACCACTGTGACCCATTTGTTTTTGGACTTTCACATGATTTCACTGTTTTTTTTAGCGCAGAGGTCAAACTCATATTCTTTTCAACCCTGACGTTTACATTTAATAGCCAATCAGGAGACAGTTGGGAGGAGCTTAAACAGCTCGTTTCAAATAGAGGACGATGCAAAGCTGCTCTAGTTGAGCCCAAGAATAAAAGCATGTAAATAAGACGGAGACGTCCACTGGAAACCTTTTAGCTCATCGAGTATTTAAATTTCAATTCAACAACCTGTTGACCTGTTACGACCTTTGATGGCATCACAGGGTCTAAAGTTTAGCACAATGAGTGAAATCGTTTAAATGGCTACAAATTTGGTTTTATTCTAGAAAACTTTTTTCTCATGAAATTACATTTTGAGTTTATTTTTATTATTGCAGGTGTCTTCCTGAATGAGTCCAGACTTCTGGAGGGACTTCAGGGAATTCTGCGCTCCGTGTTGTCATCAGAGCCCAAACTGGTTTCTGTGACTACACCGAGCTTCGGCTGTTCCCGTGGTTACCATCTGGACAGCGACAGCGAGGGCTGTGGTGAGTCTCTGTTCAGCTCAGACATCCAGACTCTGGACCGCAGAGTGTTTCAGAGTGTGGGATCTCCTTCACTCAAACTTTGGTGCCCATAGTTTGAGCCACGTTTGATCCTTGTGGCTTATATCAGAATAAAATCAGGTGTGTCTTCACCTGGAGCTCAGTAAGAGGTGCGTCTCTGCAGTCGTCTGTTTGTCCCGTAACTCAGTCTAGTTTCTCTGTTTCCAGTCGTTTGTCCTGCTGGCAGTTTCTCCCAGGAGGGGGCGTGTCATCTGTGTCTTCAGGGGACCTATCAGGATGAAGAGGGGCGGGACTTCTGCAACAGGTGTCCCACAGGGTCGTCACCTGCTGGAGCATCATCTACCAAGGAATGTGAGTGTTTTTAAACCAGGATTCATTTATTACGTGACTGAAACCAAACCGGGAGATTTCGTGTTTTAGGCGAAAGTTTAAACTACATCATGAAGCCACTTCCTGTTAATGTGTTAATATGTGTTTATTATATTCATGTTTCATTCTTTATCTTCCTCAGATGGCTCGAAATATTTCTGTCATTTTATTCTAAAAGTATTGAAAACTGCATGTTTTACAAACTCGTTAAAGATCTCTTAAGTCTGACCATCAAACCTTAATAGAGAGACGCGTGAGTGTCGAACACTTTGTGTTTGTGTATGCGTGCATCAGGTGTGACCGAGTGCCAGAGGCGGGGCCTGCGGTGTTCGCAGCGAGGTGACTTCCTGCCAGCGCAGCCGGATGTCCTCGCGGGCAGGTGGAGGTGCTTCAACAGCGAGGGGGTGGAGCTCGAGTGGAGCAGCAGTGACAAGGTTCTGACTGATGACGAGTGCTCAGGTGAAGATGTAGCAGCCAATCAGAGAGCAGCTGTTCACAAGTTTGTTTTTGAGCGTTCTCTTTAGAGTGTGTGTGTGTGTGTGTGTGTTGCAGTCCTCAGCAGGTTTCAAGCTGTTCCCACATCAGACCTGATTGTTGGAGCTGCAGATGCTGAAGTGCTGCAGACGATGACCTCTGACCTCACTGCCTGTGTCCGGGGTAATGCACGTGTCTCTTATTTTCCTGCTCTGGATCCAGCCTCAGCGATCTGACCTGTAACTCTGGAGGATTTTTGGTTTGTGGTGTAAAAACTCATCAACACTGCTGCTGTTTCTCTCACAGCGTGTGCAGCACAGCCTTCCTGCCACCATGTGGCGCTGTTCAACAGCCAGACTCAGTGTGAACTGTACAGCACACACAGCCTGAACACACACTGCAACACCTCCCAGCAGGTACACACCTACACACACCTGCACACACACATAAACACACATCCTTAGAAATAAAAGATTCACATAAATAAACACAATGTTTTTTAGTCCAGAGGTTTTCTGGGTAATGCTCAGGCTGAGCTGTTTGATTCGCTAAGCTGCTATCTGAGAGTGAGGGGCGGAGCTTCAGATCTGCTGGTCATCAGGAAGAAAGGTACTGCTATCATCAGAGCCATGTGAGGTGTGCTGCAGCTGTGTGTACCTGTGTGCTCAGTCTGGTGTGTGTGCTTCAGGTGCAGAGTTTTCCTCGCAGCAGCAGCACAGTTTTGTGAGGATGAGGATGATGAAGGCGGTCTCAGGTGTGTTCAGGACTCAGGTGTTCTCCTCCAGGCGGACCTCTCTTTCCGACGCTCATCGTTTCTGTCAGGACGGCTGCAGCCGCGACACCTGCTGCGACGGATTCATCCTCAACCAGAACAGCCTGGAGGGAGGTATGTTACCATGGAGACCATGGAGACACGGACAGGTGATAGCTGATGAATGAGAGCGCCTCGTGTCATCCTCTCTCTGCCAGGGTCCCTACTCTGTGGCTGGTTGAGAGCTCCATCAGTGCTGACGTGCGGGGACCGGGACTGGGATGTGATTGGTCAGGGAGCGGCCAAACGCACTTGCGGGGCGGGGCTTACCTACAACGAGCAGCAGCGCAGCTTCATGTTTGATTTTGGAGGACAGGAGTTCACCATCAGTAAGAAAAATCAAGTCACGGCTAAAATCCGTCACTCATAAAACAGGTAACCACGCGACTAAAGCACTTCCTGTTTCCTCCTTCCAGCTGATTCTGCTCTGCCAGCTGACAGCAAGAACAGGAAGGACTATCAGGCCTCCATCATCAGCTTCCAAGCCATCTACCTGAACACTGGTACCTGTTAGAGGACATATTTTAGCACTTCATGACAAATGCATACAGAGACCAATGATCAGCTGTCTCTCCAGCTCTGCTGTCGGGTGTCTGATAGAGAGGCGGTCCTCATTCTGTGAGCTGGGTGAACCACAGGCCACAGCAGATCTCCAGAGCAGGACTGCTGATAGACCAGCTGCAGGATGAGCTCCTCTCTGAGGAAGCAGAGCTGCTGTGGGAGAAACTGGCTACAATTACACCAGAATAATTATTTACACCTGCAAGAAAAAAAGACCAGACTGGCAGTACGGAACGAGTTGAGCAAAGTTTGACTTACGTGACTGTTTGGTTTCACTTAACGCGCCTTATGATCCTTTGACGTCGACACTGTTGTGTTTGTCGTCTTCTGCTAGTAAAGATTTATGTAAATTTGACAAGCTGGGTGGATTCTGTACTGTACAGGAGACACGGCACGAGACTGATTGAAAATGGTCTACAGCCAATCAGGACGCAAAACACAATGTGCTGTGAAAAAAAAAAAGTGCAAAATTGCACCAAAAAAAATCTGTGAAACAGTGAAGCTGTGAAAAGTGCCCACTATGTATATACATATGTATTTATACTGAAACAGCAGTGATGGCTGAATAAACTTAAACAAGCTCAAGAGCGCCCCCTATGGAACAGGTAGACCAGATATTAGAAATGATTATCAGTTCTCAGATCAAAAAGGACCACCAGTAATGAAACCATGAGACAGGAAGGGACAACTAAAGTTTCAAAATAAAACTGAGGCGACTGTCATTTACTGTTATTCTCTCAGAAAGACTCAAAAATGTGCTAAAATAATTCGTTTAAGTCACTCGCTGACGACACTGTTTGTCTCAGTTCTGCTTGTTTGTTGTTGTGTTGCAGCTTCGGCCGTCGGCGGTTCTGGTTCTTCTTCGTGTGCTGCAGCTGAGCTCAGCCCTCCTCTGGACGGTTTGTACAAACAGAGCAAAAGTCTGAAGTTTCTGTTGGATGGTTGGCGACGTGTCACCGATGCTTTTATGGGCTCTGTTTGTGTTGCAGCTTCAGTTCAGCTGAAGTTTGCGTCTCTGTCTGAGGACGACGTTCTCGTGGATCCTCAGAGGAAGCTCCCCGCTCTCTCCTTCTGGCTCAACAAGAACAACTACAACTCCCAGCAGGCACAGCTCTGGTGTCTCACGCGTATGTGAAACTGTCTTCTCATCCTGAATACAAACATGGAGATTCTGGTTTTCTGGGTTCTGCTTGTTGTAAAAGTCCAATTGACCAATCATGTAGCAGCTTCAGTTCTCTGCATGTGGAGGTCATTAGCCATGCTGTTTATACGCTGGAACCCCTGAAAAATGCTCGGACGGGTTAGTGCCTGTGTCGGGACAGCTGCCTCAGTCTTTCAGGTCACGCTGGCATCACGTCGGCGGTTTCCTCCATCAGTCCTGAGACGCTGTGTGGTTTCAGGTTGTGACGAGGAGCCGCAGTGCTCGGTTGCTGACCTCAGAGATGCTGACTCGGCAGGTTTCTTCAGCTGCTCGTTGTATCCGGACAGCAGAGTTTGTGGAGCTTACGATAAACCTCTGAGACGACCCTGCAGCCCCCTGCTGGACAGAGCGCCCAACAACACCTACAGCAAGAAGGGTAAAGAGGGGAGCTCAGAGAGTCACTGTCATGACTTCATAGCTGCTCCTGCTGTTTTTAAACACCGTGTGTGTGTGTGTGTGTGTGTGTGCTTGTGTGGTTGTGTGTGTGTGGTGTGAGTGTGTGTTTGTGTCTGTGTGCTGTGTGTGTCTGTGTGTCGGTTGGTGCGTCTGTCTGGACCAGTGAAGAGCTTTATGAGAGGGTTTCCTTCAAGAAGATGGTTTCTTACTCTGTACGCAGCCGAGTCAGCCTGGGAGAAAACACACCGCTGTCTGAGGGGTAACCCACACACGCGCACACACAACAAAATGTGTTTGGTCTCGTGTTGAAAGGTTTCAGAAAATACTTTAAATAGTAAAACCTCAGTGTGTTGGATCTGCTGCAGGTTCATGGAGTGCGAGCGCCGTTGTGACGAGGATCCCTGCTGCCGTGGCGTCGGCTTTGTCCGTGACACCAAATCCAGAGGTATCCATAAAACTGTATGAGTGTTGTTTTTAATCTTCATACTTTATAACAGTAACTCTTCTGGTTGCAACATGACTTTGTAGAAGTCTTACAGCTTAAGCCGTCTGTGACCTCAGTAAACTGAATATAACACGATGAGCATCCAGTAAATTATTCACCTCAGTGGAGTCAGACCCACTCTGTGCACAACGTCGGCAAAGAGCAGGCAAAGTGAGGGAATCAACGTTGGGGTGTGGTGTGTGTGTGTGTGTTGTGTGTGTGTGTGTGTGTGGTGTGTGTGTGTGTGTGTGTGTGTGCACATCATGTGTTTATCCATTACTGTGGCCACTGTGAAACACTGCATCGAAGACGACGTGACGACCTGGAGGACTCAGGACTGCAGACCATCAGCAGTGAAGACCACACCGGACCCCTTTGGCTGGTACCAGAAACCCGGTACTGAAAACACACACACACACACACACACACACACACACACACACACACACACACACACACTTTAAGGCGGCAGGCCTTCAGTTTATCTGAACACGAGGCTGAAGGAGGCGAAGCTCTGTGTGAATAAAGGCTGTGTTCTGCTTTGCAGTGAATCAGTGGAGTCCGTCTCCTGCTCTCTGTCCTCCGTTCAGCCTGCCACCGACCAAAACCAACAGTAAGACTCCACCCACATGCAGATACTCGCAGTAATACTGTCAAAAGTACTTAAAGTACTGCCATTACTTCTTTTATCGCTCACCCCTGAGTATTTTTCACAGTTTCGCTGGACGACTGGAGTCTCCTCGCCGACTCTTCAGTCCTCGTCGACCCGTCTCTCTCTACCTATGATGTCATCCACGTGAGCCGTGATGTCGCCGATGACAGAGATATGACCAGGGACTGGTGTCTCCATGGTAACCATATGTGGGGTTTTTTAACTACTCTTTGGTGTACCTCACTGTCAGATCCTGACTCTGCTCTGCTTCCCATCAGCCTGCCAGGAGGCGGAGTCTTGTGCAGCTGTGTCACTCAGTGAGGTGGAGTCCGCCACGCGCTGCGTTCTGTACCCTGACACAACAGTCTGTGGCCTAAGCTCCGCCCCTGAATCCCCCGCCTCATCTTCCTGTCGACTGGTCGTGAAAGAGCCCGCCCCCCAGGTGTACCTGAGACGCGGTGTTTTCTCAGAGCTGTCACAGACGTCCGTTTCTATCCCGGGCCAGGGGGTGCTGCAAGGCGTCGCCGTGGAAACAGCACTGGCATCAGACAGGAGGACAGTCGTTCAGTTCCTCGGAGTCCCGTACGCTCGTCCTCCAATAGGATCGCTCCGCTTTGAAGCAGCTCAGCCGGCTGAGTGGATGGGAACCTGGGACGCCACCAAACCACGGTAACTACCCGTGTGACCACAAACGCCTGTCCTACAGCACGTGGTCACCCAAGGCACCCACAACCAGGATATAGTGAAAAACAGCGGCCTCACCTGTACAGGAAGTGGCATTGTCCATCGGCAGATTCCAGATATGAATTAACCCGATCAATGATCATCTTTATCTCTTCACCCGTCAGCCCCAGCTGCATCCAGCCTGGTGACGTAGCCTCTGCAGCCTCCAGTGAGGACTGTCTCTACCTCAACATCTTCACTCCTGCTGACCTGGTGAAAACTCAACGCACTCGTTATTTCATTTATTCACGTTTTATTTTCTTTGATCACATTTTTTCTGTTTTTTCTGTTGTTTGCTGTTAAACCAGAGGGGGCGTGTTCCAGTCCTGGTTTTCTTCTTCAACCCTTCGGCCAATGAGAACCCAGGACTGTTGGATGGCTCCATCCTCGCTGCTATGGGTAATATCGTCGTGGTAACAGCGAGTTACCGGACGGCGGCGCTGGGATTCCTGAGCACAGGTGACTTAAAAACAAAGAAAGAGAGAAAAACGCACGCTAAATGACTCACCTGGCCTCCTGTCCACCCCTTTCTCCAGGTGAGTCTGGTCTCCATGGTAACTACGGCCTCTCGGACCAGGAGGCAGCGCTGCGCTGGGTCAAAGACCACATCTCGCTGATGGGCGGAGACAACAGCAGAATGACGGTGGGGGCGGAGCGTGGTGGTGCTGACATCACCAGCCTTCACCTCCTGTCTTCGTCTCGTCCTCTGTTCCAGAGGATGATGCTGATGGTGAGACCTCGAGTCGTCCCTCCTTCCTCCAGACAGCAGGCGGAGACTAACAGTTGTTTTATCAGCAGTGGAGCAGATGCTCCGAAGAGGAACGAGACCACGAGCCAACCTCAAAGTTCTTCATCGCTTTTATCTCCTCCTGCAGGGCGGGTCAGCGTTTTCTCCATCACTGGTTCAGACTCCGTCCACCTCCAGACGTCAGGCCCTCAATCTGGCCAAGGAGCTCGGCTGTGTGACCTCTGACCTCGCGGCCTGCCTCAGAGCGTCATCTGTCCACACGCTCAACGCCGCTCAGACAAAGGTAGACGTCCCGGACAGTTTGCGCTGGTGCAAGTCCTCGTGTCACGTGTCTCACCTGCGCTGTGTTCGCCCCGCAGCTGTTGGCGGTCAGCGGGCCGTTTCAGTCCTGGTCTCCGGTCCGTCAGTCCATCTCTCGGTCGTCCTTCCACAGAGTGGACCTGCTGCTGGGAACATCAGAGCACGATGGTCTGATCAGCCGTGCTCGCAAGATAAAGGTCAGAGGTCACGCTTAAACTACCTGTAAATCTACTCAAGAGGTTCAGTTTAAGAAAGTAACGGCGGCATAATTTTCATCAGGACTTTGAGTCTCTGCAGGGCAGAGCTGACAGCAAGACGGCGTTTTACGAGGCTCTGAGCCGCTCGCTGGGCGGAGCCACGGGAAATGAGCTGCTGAAGGAGGCGGCGGCGTGGTTCTACTCGCTGGATCACAGTCCCTCAGCTGCTGGATACAACCTGTTCTCCAGAGCGCTCAACAACGCCACCAGGTCAGAACCAACACGCACACACACGCACACACACGCACACACACACACACACACACACACACGCACACACACACTGTTGTCGTGTTTCTGGTGAACGCTTTCATGTGTTTGCTTTGCAGAGACCTGTTCATCATCTGTCCCACGCTCCAGATGGCGAGGCACTGGGCGGAGAACAGAGCTAGCGTCTTCCTGTACCACCAACCGGCCTCCAGCGCTCACGACAGGTGCGCATTTCTACCTCAGCGCTAAACATCAATGTTCATCCGTCGCCTCTAACACAGAACATACTTGAAAGGAGGGCGGAGTTGTACAGATAAACCCTGGATGTCACTTCCTGGACCATCCGTTCCTCACAGCAGACCTCACCCAGCGTTATGATGGTGACCTACACTGTGTCTGCATCAGAGGGGCTGTTGGGTGTAAAAGGCTCTGTGTGTGTCTGCAGGGCCGACGTGTACCTTCCTCTGGATGTTCAGCTCGCCTTCGGGACACCTCATCATCCAATGAGCTCTCAGCGCTTCGCCTCCTCTGATCGGCGCCTCTCTCTTGCCATGATGACCTACGTCTCCAGCTTCATACGGAGCGGGTGAGGCTAACGCTCGAACCTCCGAGTCCTGCGTCTGGAGCCGATTTATTCATTTTTTTTTTTGCTCTCAGGAACCCAAACCCATCCCGATCGTGGGCGGAGTCAGTTCTGCCCCGCTGGCAGCCAGTGCTGTCCTCAGAGGCTCCGCCCACCTACCTGGAGCTAAGCACTAACCTCCATCATCAGCGGGGTTTGAGTCAGAGCTCCTGCTCCTTCTGGACCCAACTGGCACCCAAACTGACGAGTCTGACAGGTGACAGAAATTTCTACTGGTTTCTACTGGTTTCACCTGTGCCCTCAGTTTGCTCCTCTGCTGTCTCACCTGAGGTCCTTTCGCCTCGTTCAGCGCTCTGTTCGATTCAAATCTTCCTGTTTCCTGTTAAATCTACTTTTCTTCACCTTTACAGAGTTTATCGGATTATCATTGTAAACTTTGACTCACAGCTCAGAGCAGAGAGTAAGGGAAACCATCTTTCTGACTTTTCTTTTTCCTTTGGTTTCCAGGTGCATCGGGGGCGGAGCCTGTTCAGCCTACACTGACCCCTGAACCCCCAGTGGCTGCTCCATCCAGACAATCCCAGACTGAGAAAGATGCCTACAGCTAAACTAATGACATCATCACCCACTTAGGGGACTTCACAGTTTCATCTCCCATAATTCACTTAGATTCAGATGGTTGCTGTTGATCAGTTTTGCTCATAATCATTAATAAAAAGCATCTCAAACTCTCAGCTGTGCTTCTCGTTTGATCAGGGTTCAGTGTTGAGTTGAGTCATCCAGCTTTGTTCAGTGTGAGGTTTGTTAACTCAGGCTTTCTTACTCCGGTAAAAAGGGGCTTGCATGGCTAAAATAGCATGAAAGTCCAATCATGTGTCAGACATCTGTGGAACGGGTGCCAGAGATTAATGAGAAAACCCATAAATAAGTCATTTATCCCCTGCAGATATTAGCATATGTTTATGTTCTAGCATATTTGAGCACATCATAACTCATTCGTCTGCTTCGTTGCGCACCCCTGTGAGGCCAATGACTTCCTGTGTAAGACGAGTGTGTGCTGTGGTTACCTGTGGATAATCAGCCAATCACAGTCAGCTGCTCTGCGGCTCCACCCTGTTCACCTCACCTGAATCAGGCAGCAACATGAGACATGGACACTTAGTGCAGCTTTGTTTCAAAGAACAAAGATTTTGTGACTGCGTCACAATTTTCAGGCAGTATGTCAAAAAGGGAACGACCTGCATTCTTTCTCACAGCCAGCAGGGGGCGACTCCTCTGGTTGTTTAAAGATGTTTGATTGTGAATCTGTGAAAACGACTGCATTTCTCACCAACCTTTGACCTCAGTTGACGCTTTCCTGATGTCTTTACGCCCTCAGTGTTACTAAAACTGCATGAATGTTATTTTGCACCTCGTGGTCTCGTTTGGAGTGAAGCTGCGCGCGTGATGATGCATGTAGACATTTTAAGACTTCACTGTGGGGTTTCACAAATTAAATCCTGACTTGACGGTGGCCACAGCCATCTTTAATATACAGTCTACAGTTACATCAGCTTTCAGTTTGTACTGATTTAGTTTAATACTGTAATACTAGTTACAGTATTAAACTAGTAGTTACAGATACAGAAGCAAGTCTAAAGAGGAACACGGGCGCACTGCACCACATTTACCTCAAAGCTTTAGTAACTTTATTTTTCATGAGACTTATTGGTTATACTAACTAAATGACACTAATATTTAAAAACTCTAAAAATAAAAAGCTTGTTTTTTCTTTGTAGGCAGGGAAAATATTCCTGGGGAAATGAAACGGTAAGCATCTGACCCTTGCTGTTAGCCGCAGGTCTGCAACCAAAGAACTGCACATGATTTTCTTGAGTGTTTCTTACAGATTTTTAATCCCTGAAACCAGAAAAATATTTTTAAAATCCTCGTCAGGATTTCTCGCAGGTTTCTAGTTTAATTACGCGTACAGTTTCCCTTTTTAAACTGAAGTCTGTGTTCAGAAACAAAGATTTTTTTCATTGCTGTTGTGCTTTATTAAATGGAAACTCTTCACATTTGCAGAAAGCCCTGTACGTGATGGAGGGACATGGAGATTCTTTGGATTCGGCGCCCTAAAAAACACCAAATTTACCAAAAAGATCCCACGCAGCTGCAAAATGTTGTTGCAGAGCTGTGACACCATCAGGTCTGCTTTCTGCAGCATTAAACGTTTCATCCAAGCACGGCACAGACCTCAGCTCGCTCACACACACACACACACACGATTCATCGATGGACTCACAGGTAGCTGAAGCATTAATGTTCCCTCGTTTTTCTTACGGTGGAAGAATGGAAACACGTTTGAATGTCAACATTTCTTCTGAGTTATTGTTCGAAGCACTGAAATGTTGTCTTCCACCTTAAGCTTGAAAAGTGAAGTGAAATTGCTCCTTGACTAAAAAAAACAAACACGTCCTCATAAATGTACCAGTTTTGTGCGATGCATCAATCGCAGCTACACACAAAACAGCAACAATGTTCCAACGTTTGTTAACTTCAGTGAAACCGGAAAATGTCCTTTATTGTACAGTTTGTGACGTATAAATGCAAACAGACGACTCGGCTGCTCTTCGTCCAGCTAACCTCCCGTCTGTGAGGGGAACACCCCGCTCAGTGCGGCCACGCATGCCCGAAGCATCGACTCAGCCAGCCGGTGAAACCTGGCAACCTTCAGTCTGTGCCGAGCGACAGTTTCTCCTAAACCGACTGTTTTAATCAGAAGGTAAAAATTCATAGAAAATAAACAAAGATGAGTTGAAAGATAAACAGAAGAGTTTTTCCACATGCTTTGACACAAATCTGAAAAACTGTGGCACAAACACACTTCTGTACAGTCTACACTTAACGGGCTGCTGACGCTGGTGAGTGTGCGATTATTTCCATATTGATCTACGATGTTATGGATCCATCCCTAAAGCTGCAGCGCTCCGTGTCGGCACACTCGGATCAGAGATTCCTCGTTGGGTTTGTTTTTATCTCTCGGGTTTAAACAGCTGCACAAACAGACAAATAAGAATGAAACAGGAAACTGAGCTGCGACCACAGAGTGGAGCTCTGCTGTTGCTGAAGCCCAAAGGCATGTTGGGAGGCGGAGGAACGCAGCCCCTCCCCCCTCTCTCTCTCCCCCACCTGTGTGCAGGTGAGGCGGGTGTATAAAGGAGTCTTTCTCTGGATGGAAACAGACTCCGGCGGCCGCTCACACTGAGATCTTTGTCACAAACTTTCGGATTTCCTGCAGAAAGATGGAGAAACTGCTCGCGCTCTGCTTGGCTCTCAGCCTCACCGCCTCAGGTTGGAAAACTACACCTAAACTCCACCTTTTTAGATCTTCTGTTTTACTCTTTTCTGTTCCGTCTCAGACTCGAAACAAAATAGAAATCGAGCATCAGAGGAACACAAACATGTTAAACAATGGAAACTAAAGCTGTCGAAGATATAAAAGAGAAAGAATAGTCCTTTAGTGTAGCGACGGTCTGCAGCTGAGCTCACTCGGTCTGATTGTTTCCATCATTTATTAACCTGCTGATTGATAAACTGTCCAGAAATAGTTACATTCAGATTTCTAAGGTTTTCTTTTGTGTGTGAGTCTCAGCCTCGAACCCTGAGATTCGCCTTGCTCATGTTTCAGTGCAGCACAGATCGCCTTTCTATGGTCTGTTGTCTTCATCATTTACTTCATCGTTAGTATTTTAACCTCAAAAATCAGCAAACCTCAACATGTGAGAGATGCATCAGATATTTTGGGAGGCTTCACGTGTGGTGGTGAAGCCTCGTCAGGAGGAAAGATGCTACAGACTCGATCTCTGTTTTATTTGGTGTTTAACAGCTGTTAGTGTGAAAGAAGTGATCTGACGGAAGCAACACGGGATGTTATTTTGCAACAGTCGGTGAGACAGATAGATCTCCCCACAACGCAAAGCAAAAACTATCTAAAACTTCTAAAGTTCATCATCCTCCATGATCACGTTTTCCCTATAATTGCAGCATGATTTCATGTTGTTTTATTCATTAAAACTAGTGACTGTTTACGGAGCTCACAGGTGAGGTGAGCAGAGTGAAATGAAGGCAGTGGAGTAGCATACACGGCACTTTGCAGCCTCATTAAACTCCCACATCGATACCTTTGATTCCTGCCTCGGTCACAGCCATCATAAGATTGACTGAGTTTATTTAAAACTGTTCTTGTTCCATTAGTGGCCTCTGGAACAGACTCAACCAACACAACACCAACCCTCAGCACCTCTTCTAACAACGCAACAACTTCTGCTGGACTCAACACCACCAGTCCATCTGTTCCCAGTACCACCAACACCACCAGTACATCTGTTCCCAGTACCACCAACACCACCAGTACATCTGTTCCCAGTGCCACCAACACCACCGCAGTGACGACGAACCCGACAACCGCCTCTCTGGATGTCACGACCCCGCACAACAGCTCTTCAGCAAACAACACAACCGCTACAACCGCTTCGCCCGGTAACGGCACCAACACCAATTCCTCCGCGACATCCCCCCCTTCCACAGAGAGCAACGGAACGGCCACAAACCAGTCGACCACAACTCCGAGCACATCCACGAGTACGACCCAGAGCACAGCGGCGTCTGCGGCCGGCAGCAGTGCGGGGGTTCCTGGGTGGGGCATAGCTCTGCTGGTCCTGGCGGCTGTGGTTCTGCTGCTGCTGCTCCTGCTGCTGATCGGACTGGTGAGTGCACACATTTCACCGTCACTCCAGGAAGTCAAATCACATCTTTATAGACACCCCACAATCCATCTCAGCAAATATGGAGACCAACACACTGCCTCTGGTCTGCGGTGCATTCAGGGACTGCGCCACATTCGGTAACCGCTGCGTTGCCACTGCCAGGGTTTCAAATACCAGCATTTTATCAAAGCTGCATCTCACAGACACACCCGAAGCATCCTCCGCATCATGTTTCTGGCCTCATTAGGTCGGGGCATCGTCACAATTTGAATTCAGTCAATTCTGTCGTTCAACATTTATTTTCGTAAACTACGAATCAAGTGTTTCCTTTACAGAGGTGCACTTTGGTCCTGCAATCCCAAACACAACACAAGCCCAAAAGGTAGACTCTGTGCACCTGGACGTTTTCAGTGGGGGAAACCTTTCGTCACTCATCCAGGCGACTCCTTCCCCAATATTATAAACTGTACATTTGCACAATGACTGCTGGGAGGTCAGTTCCTTGATCATTAATATGAAAATCCTCATGACCACTGATCAATGGTCATGAGAACCACAGAGTTGGGAAATGGCGGCAATCACAACCCAACTTTTCACAAAGGGTACCCACGGTCACAACACTGCTGCCTCACAGTGGCTGCTCTAAGACGTCGGCCTGTACAAACTTTAAGTATTGTTGAAATAATATTTTTTACACTCTAACAGGAACCGATCAGCAGTAAAGTTTGCATCTCGTCTTTTCAGACAGAATCGGGACGTTTCGTGTATCCATGACACCCGACTTATTATTTCCATTTGATCTACTGCCACTGTCACATTTACCATCATAAATGCCATTATAGTTCATTGTTAGGTGGTTGCCAGGCAACATGCCAGCATTAAAATGTCATATATCATAACATTAAAGTTAAATTAGACGTTAATGTTACGAAATTCAAATAATAAAATGTTTCTCTAATGTTTTCTATCTGAAGAATTGCTAAATA